CCCATCCCTCATCCCCATCCCCACCCCTACCCCTCATTGCCATCCCCATCCCCATCCCCACCACTCATCCCCATCCCCATCCCCATCCCCATCCCATCCCGATCCCCAGGCGTCCCTGGTGTCCTGGTGTGCTCAGTGAAGGAAGCCAAGGCAGCGTCACTCAGAGCCTTGCTGCTGGCACGGCTGCCTTGGACAAGGTGCACATTGTCTGGCCCTGGTGCTGCCTCCCCCATTGGCCAACCCCCTCTGCCACAGGCACCCGACCTCTTTAAAGGGAGACCACTAAGTCTCAGTTGGGCACACGTCTCTCTGACTGCCACCAAGAGCTGCTGTGGCCACTGCCTCTCTCTGCAGGACCGGCGCCTCACAAAGCCTGTACGATGTGTAACCGATTTGTGGGAACCTGGAAACTCATCTCCAGCGAAAATTTTGATGACTATATGAAAGAATTGGGTGAGAAATGTTCTGGGTTTGTTTGTGTGTGTTTGTTTGTTTTTCTTTTTTGTTAGTAAGTTTCATTTGGGAAGGTTCTGCTCACTGATGATGTCTTCTTTCTTGCCAAAAAAAGCACTTAATTACTATTCTAACATAATTTAATTTATTTTCTTTAGCATCTAAATTGAAAAAGGTAGGTGATGAATTACTATTATAAATTTATTTCCATCCAACTGATATGAACTGATTTAATATGTTTTTCTGTCACAAGAATAATCTATGGAGATAGATTTTTTTGTTTCCTCTTGATTGCACTATTAAACTTGTGACTTATGATAATTCACAATATATAATGGAGCTGATGTCTCATGACACTGTAGTTTCAGACATCTAAATACTGTGAATGAATCTATCTGTTACTAAAGAATGCCAGGAACGTAACAAATTAAGCATTGTTTTTCATTTTAATGCTGGCTTCATTTCTGTATGCCAAGTGCACAGACAGTCAGTACTGCATTGCTTTTGGTCTATAAATGATTCACTGATTCCTTTTATTTGAAATGTTAGACTGAATAACAAAACAAATGTAGTCAATTAATTAGCCAGGGTTAATGGGGGAGGAAAGTCCAGCTGCAGATATTTTTCTGAACATCTGAACAGAATTGCTTAGTATAGAATAATTATTGCAAATAGCTTTATACTTCACAGAAAACTTTATACCCTTTTTTACAGATCTTTTTCATCTGAGCAAGGCATAGCATTAACAAAGGCACTAACTGCAGCTATCCCTTTCCTGCTCTTACGAAGCAGTGATACATGGCCAGTGCCTTCATTCCTACTTGCCCCAAGCCTTACAGCCTGTAGACAATGAATTGGACTGGAAAGGACTAGGCAATACAAAAGGCTTTTGGTATGGGATTTTCCTGGAAGCTCTTTGCAGCTCTCAGCCCTTATACCACAACGTTTTTTATATTTCATACTTGTGCTTTTCACCAAGGTTTAGATGCAAGGATCCTTAAAGGATGTTAATAACAACTTAGGACTTACCCAGTCTTCAGTATGTTTTAATGAACAAGCACCAGCATATTGGCAATTCAGTGTCCAGTTTCTTCCCTGCAGCTATTAACAAAGGTACAAATTCTCAGATTTGTCAAGGATATTTTTTTAAGGATTTTTACAAATTTTATGAGAACCAGACTCTTCCTCTTAATTTTTCTACTTATTCATCTATATTAAATTAATGCAGATTTGTAACCAACTATGTTTCTTCTTAGCTAAATGTGCACAGCTCTATAGTTGTGTATATCTTTAATTCTTGCTGAAGGTGCACTCATCAGCTGGGGGGTGCCTCAGCCCCTGAATGCTGAGGTTTCCATTCCTACCTCTGGCTCTGTACTGTCTCATCTAAAGAATGAGTGTTTCATCTAAATCAGGCATTGACGTATTCAAAAAGAAACTCTTCTTTATTCTTCAACTGAATAATCATGAGAGGATACTGAGTTTCTTGCTTCTAGAATGTAATGATTTTTTTTTTTTTCTGATTTCCAGGAGTGGGCTTAGCTGCCCGAAAACTAGGTGGCCTGGCAAGGCCTGATGTGATCATCAGTATGAAAGGGGACATAGTGACCATCAGAACTGAAAGCACCTTCAAAAATACAACTATCTCCTTCAAACTGGGCCAGCAGTTTGATGAAACAACAGCAGATGACCGGAAAGTTAAGGTAAGGGGGCTGATGACCTCTGAGTAGTCTGAACATCTCTAAGAAGGGGACATTTTTCCTACTTCCTTAGTGCACCTTGAGTTTTCCAAACTACTAAAATAAAGCATTGAAAGAAACAGTATAGTGCTAAATATAATGTTACTGAGCATGCCATTATCCCTGAGTGCATATCTTGCTGAATGTAAGGTGAATTGCTACTCTAAACTGCAAACCTCAGCCTACAGCCTAAAACTCTTCTCTTGGAATTTGCAGAGTGTTGTAACCTTGGAGAAAGGGTCATTGGTGCAAGTGCAGAAGTGGAATGGCAAAGAGACCACGATAAAGAGAAGACTTGTTGATGGGAAGATGGTGGTGGTAAGTTCATGTTCCTTGTACACTGCTAAAGGTCAGAAGGATACAGCTTTCAGTATGTTTCTATCTAAACAGACTATCAATTTTGGCTTACTCTTTGAATAATAAAACAAATTAAAGGAGAGAAAAATGGAACCAAGCTTAGAAAACAGCTGGAAAGAAATAAATGTTGCTGCATACCGCAACTTGTCTTTAAAGTGACTATACTGGCAGAGCTGCCATAAGTTGACAGCATACTTACTACTCTCAACATTATTGTTCTTAAAATGAATAAGGTTTAAAAATAAAAGAAACCTATAAAATGGAAACAAAAGTTTATGAGCAGGGCACTGCTGTCCCTGAACCAGCTTGTTCCTTTTCACTATCTTGGCCAAGCCAGGGAGATAAAACATTTTAGGGATCCTAGCTGTAAGGGTCACTATGAAAATTAAGATTTCACTTTGTTCATAAAAGTTTTAAAATATTGGAATCAAACTAATTCTGGCAACTTTTTTGAAGTCAGCACCATTACACTTTTACATGTTAGCCTGTTCTGACTGCCTTTTGCCATAAGTTCTCATGCTTAGAATCATAGAATGATTTGCATTGAAAGGAACCTTAGAGATCATCTAGTTCCAACCCACTGTCATGAACAAGGACACTTTTCACTAGACCAGGTTGCCCAAAGCCCCAGCCAGTCTGGTCTTGAACTTTTCCAGGTATGGGCCAACCACAACTTCTCTGGCTAACCTGTTCCAGTGCCTCACCACCCTCACAGTAAAGAATTTCTTCCTAATATCTAATCCAAACCTCCCCTCTCTCAGTTTAAAGCCATTCCCCCTTGTTCTGCCACTACACAGCCCTGCATAAAGTCCATCTCCAGCTCTCTTGACACCTCCCTTTATGCAGGAAGGTTGATTTGTTTTTGCATCACTGCATGGCTGCATTTCTGTGTAAGATTTCCTAATTATTAAACCCTCTCCATAATGCAGAGAGGTAAAGTCCCTCTTCTGTCGGTGTCCTGCTGCCTGCCCCTTGCCTCATAGAGGGTTGTGGAGGACTCCTCCTCTTTTGCAGACCAAGGAAGTATTTTTTTAACATCCTGTCGCCTTTGTAGCGTGCATCCTGTGACCATGAGTCAACAGCAGTCACCGAAGGCCACTGGGGTGAGAGGGTCAAGAGAAATATTTTGTGACTCAGGGGAGCAAAGATTTTTAGGCCTGAAGCCTGACCTTTGAAATACCCAGGCTATTTCTGCTTCTATACAAAAAACCCTTACTACTTTGAAAATTTGAAAGCGTTGGTGGGCCATGATACAAAAACTAAATGAAGCTAGCATTTCTGACAAGCCAACAATAATACCAAGAAAAGTAAATTTGTTTGTGGAAGCTGAGCCTAATTTTGCAATCTTTTTGTCATTAAATGCCACTTAATGAAGTTTAAAGCTGTTAAAATAGAAACAGCTCTATTTGCAATATAAAAATAGCTTTGCTGTTTGCTCTAAAAACATGACATCTGTATTTGCATTGACTTTAGAGGTTACTGCAGCAGACACAACTGCCATCAGCAAAAGGTTTATATTAATATTTTCCTTTATGCCTTAGGAATGTGCCATGAAAGGGGTTGTCTGCACTAGAGTTTATGAAAGAGTGTGAAGAAGTTCCCTCTCTGCACCGGACCAGAACTGGCTCTAAAACCTCGGCTTAATTCAGTGACCAAAGCCTCATGCACTGTGCTTCTTTATTTTATTTCCTTTTATTGGGAAAATGAATACACCATAATTTGATATTTCAGAGCCATCGTGTAACTAATCCAAAATATTGTGGTGATCCAATAAAAGCTTCTCAACACAGAAAATAGAGTGTTTGCTTCCACATGAATGATTTACATTTACTTCTTGACTGGCACTATCTTTTCTGTTGATAGTGTCTGTACAAAAGGTCAGACTATTTCTGAGTAAAATGGTGAAGCACAAGTAATACATATCTGAGAGAGGGCTAACACTTCTTCTTTGATATGTATAAAAATATAACCTCCTGGACTCAATATTCTTTTCCCGCAAAAGATTTTATAGCTGAATAGCTCCTATAGGGAAAATTATCTTTACCACCAGAATTTTTGACTTTCAGTATTATATATCACTGTAGCCTTATAGTCTTAGCACATCATTGTTTTGTACTCATCCCAAAAAGCTTATACTTCTTTTAGTACCAGGATTTCTATATTGGCATTTATTTGGAAGAAAACAGATACTGGAGGGAAAAAAATTGGAATATATTCCATATTTGTCTGCCAAAAGAGCAGATAAACCCATGAAACAAAGTGTTCAGCAGGTGTGAATGAACTCCAGAAGCCTTAAGGCTAGAGAGCTTAATTTTAAAAGTGCTCAGCAGTCAAGCCTACTTGCAGCACAGTATTTAGGTGTACACTTTGCTAAGCACACAGAGGAGGTGCATTGGTTAGAGTTTGCTGTCAAGCCTAACTGAGTAGCTAGTATTCATTCCATCCACTACACTCACTCTGCTTTTTTGTTCCATCCACTGCACTCACTCTCCTTTTATCTAAGGAAAAAAAAAAACAAAACAAAACAAAAAAAAAAAAAAAAAAAAAAAAACAAAAAAAATAATCAAAAAAAAAAACCCCCCCCCAAAAAAAAAAAAAACACCAGAATGTAGTGACCTAAACTTCTGGAAATCTATTTCACTAAAAAGATCTGTGGCAGGTTATTAATATTTGCCTCCACTGGCCAGTGGTCAGTATCACTGCTACATTCACACAAAACACATTTCATCCTGTGTCACTGCCTCTGTGCCATCACACAGAGCTCCTGCCTCCTCTGTGGGGTTAAAGCAACTGTGAGAGCCTCATGTGTTTATCTTGGCTCATTAAAAACAGCAGAGCTGATATGAACCTTTGCCTACTGGTTTTACAGGCAAGAACACAAGTTCTGAAGATTAAGACAGATCCTGAACGTCAGCATCTAAACTGGTTTAGCCAAGCAGAGAGTAAGAGATGGATATCATATGCAAATGAAAGATATAAAGGTCACCTTTCTTCTCTACCCACCACTGGAAAAGCCAGAATCTGGGCCCAGCTTTAGATACATTTTTATGTAGATGCAGTCTAACTGCAGCTGCCAGAAGGCAAACAGGATGAATCCTAGAAAATACGAGCAGTGGGAGAAAACTGTGTGATTTATGGACAGCAGTTTTAAGGAAAAATTTATCCTGCTCTCTGATCTGATGAAGGGACAAATGCCCCATCTTTAATCTTACCGTTAAAACTCACCCCAACGAGTGTCAGAGTTTCTGTGACTCCAAGTCCTCAGTGATTGCAACAAGGAATGGAAGCAGAATGATGCCTCATGTATCATCTTTTGCAAACAGAGTGTAATCACATATTTTGAGCAAAGATATTTTACCAGGCTTCCATAAGAGCAGTCACTTTATACATGGCCCTCCAGATTATTTTCCTAGTGTCTTAACAGAGAGCCAGAGACATTTCTTACAGCTCAGAATCTGCCTGAAATGGACTCGTGAATCTGGATTTTTGCTCTGCAGTTTCTTTGTTCCCTTTCCTTGCAGTATAACACAGTCCCAGTGAAGCTGCCGGAGCTGCTCACCCCAGCCTGGCTCTTGGAAGCCTGAACTTGTCCAGAGCCTTTTATCAGAGTTCACCTCCACCCCTGAGCCACAGGCAAGGGAGAAGATACTGCTGCAAACAAGCTCTGTATTTCCTTGGCTTTCCTGATGCAACCTGTAAATTCTTCTTAAGTTAAATGCAAAATCTCCTCTCTAATAGAATATTAGTTTTCAGCTTTTTATTTCCTTAGGCAAAGGAAAGAAATGCTTACTTCAATACAAACTACAGTTTTTCCAGATCTGGAAACAGTAACAGAATAAAAACAAAGGACTACTCACCTACTCGTCATTTATTTATTTACTGTCATCTCCGTTTCTGTGATATAAACCATCTCTCTCTTCCTCTTCTAAAGAAAATTTTAGTTGCATTTATTTTTCCAGAGATTTGGAAATAAAATAATAATAGCTGAATTCCTAACTAAATACAGATATGCTGTTTAGGAGCCTAGTATTTGGCACTTTCACTCCATACAAAGGTCACATAAAAATGTCATGAGAGCTGGAGACTTTCCAAAACAGGATAAGTGCAGCAGCACTGATAGTGTTGAAGGCAAAAACAATAGGGCAGGTGGTACAAATCAGCACAGAAACTGAGCACTTTGGGCTACTGCTGTCTGTAAAGCAGTCCTCGGGGTCTCCAGGAGAATTTAGGGGGAATACGAACTTTTTAGTCTCAAGGTCTTCATCATGTCTTACTGTAAATTAGTTTATCTTCTTTCTTAAACTTTTTATACAGGCCAGATACTTCTGGAATGAACATCTAGTCTGAGGTACAATGTCTGTGTCTTGAAATGTACTTTCACATTGACAAACAATCCATTTGCTATTTTCTTAGCTTGCGTATGGGCCTAGCCTCGAAATATTGGCAGTCTGATGCTGTGTATAAATAGAATTGTTTAAAGCAATCAGCTTCATCAGGCACCCACCCCAGGCAATGAAGTCCTGACTGAGTTTAGAACACGACACTCAGATTCCTCTCCCATTGGTCACTCTTTCTGTAAGTTTGTTAAGGCTCTGTCACACCACTCTTTCGTCTGCATCCCCTGAGATGGTGGAAATTGCCTGCATGGTCCATTCATCCTCCAGTTGCTGCAGGTCTGGCAGCATTCCCTGCCTCTGCCCTCTCTGACATCTGCTGGGAAAGGAGAACCAAGCTGTAATGGCAAGAGCCCCTCTCAGCCCCACTGCTCCCATGGGGAGTGCTGAAATCAAATGAAAGCGGCATCTGGACTCCATGTACCAAAGTTGTTTCCTTGGACTGAGCAAAATTTGGCAATTTGTGATAGAAAACCTCTCCTGGTGATGTATAGCTAAACCTGGAATACCGGACCCTGTATCCAGTCTTTCTCACATGGAGTGGAGCAGAGAATACAGGCTGTCCTACAGCTTTGAACTTCCCTTGCCCATCTCCTCGAAGTTCATTTTGGGAGCAACTGTATTCCTGTGAAGTGAATTCACACACATCCAGGTGCTCAACGTACAGAGTTGCTGGTGTTTTACACAGAAACCTTGTCACCTGCTGGGACAGTTTGACTGGACAGTGAGTGTGTGGCTGGGCAGCTCTAGAAAGAGCAAAGATTTGGGGAAGGGGATTGGGCTGAGTTATTAAAGTAATTGTGCTTCATAAGAAGTCCTCGCCACTCACCACATTTCTTCCAAGAAGCAATGCATTATGCTGATAAACACTGTGCTGCATATAAGTGCCTTTTAAGACATTGCTACCTGGCCTAATTTCCATTTTGGATTAAAGATGTTCTGTTGCTTTCAGGAATAATAAGGAGTGAAAGGTTAGTGCTGAAGGGATAATCAGAAACAAATAGGCTGATACCATGAAAAAATTGCCTTCAGAAATCCTGGAATTTAGATGTAATCAAGGTCTTTGTTAGAGAGGCAATTAGAGCATATCCTTGCCATTTCAATGAAAAATGTTGTGGTTGGCTATTGGCCATCTGCTGCAGATGAGAAACACAAGAAAATGTTATTTGGACTAAAGGGCACAACAACATTGGGAATAATACTGTGCCTGAGATGCTACAGAGAGGGAAAGCTGTGTTAGACAGCATCTATACAGTATTTTCAAAGGAAAGTTTGCCTTTTTTCACCTTTCAAGAAGAAAATCAATGTTTAAACATACTTTCCTCAGATGTTATGAAAAATTTTAAAACTAAAATTAGAAGAAATGCAATCATTCAGGGATTAGGAAGGATGAAGTGAATACATTACAACTGGATTTGTTTCCAGTTTCTCAGTGAAGAATTAATAAAAATATTTAAAAATCTTTTTTTTTTATATTTGCTATAATGTGATCACCAGTATCAATCATACTATTTGTGAGAAGATGAGGGAGGAAGAAAGGGTTTTCTATTTAATTCAAACTAAATATGCTCCCTTGTGGATATGCTGTCACACTCCCTTGTGGATAAGACTTCCTACAAGAGGCACCTGTGTCAGCAATGGGGTCAAAAACACTGCAAGGATCCATCTCGTCTTTCAAGCTCATAGATGTGGTGTCACAGCTAAAGCTGCATCAGGAGACACAGTGGAGCTGTGGGACGTGCCTGCTTCAAGTTTGACAGAACTTAGGGTTGCTTTGGAAATCTGTAAACATAAATACGGGAAAGGGGAGGTATGTAATGCATCTAGCTACTGTACAATACTTATACATGCCAAAACCAGCCTCATTCATCTCAGATCCTAGTATGAATTTCCCAAGCTAAAATATCTTTAAGTCTTACTTGGAAGCTCTGCACATTTGATATGAAAAAATCTGCAAGACAGTGAAGGTAGGGCCCTCAGTCTTCCTGTATAATCTCCTAGCAGACGTTTGTAGCTTTCTGTGGTGCTGTGCCATCTTCTTGTATCTTGTACCATATTGCATTCAGAGTTTTATAGCTGACTAACTTCTATGGATCTGTACAGGTAAGTGCATTGTAATTCCTTTACAAACCTCCTCTCCATATGAACAGTGGGAAAAGGAAAGACTACAAAGCAAGTTGAGACTGTAAGACATAACATTCAAGACTTCTAATTACTCAGTCAACAGAAACGTTTTAATTTCATTTAGCAAGAGATAGATCAGTTACATTATGAAAGGTTAGGTGCATAAATGTCTGTTCTTTCCAGATAGGAACTGAGCCCTCTGGCCAGGAGCACAGGAACCAAGATTAAGACTCTCCCATGTGCTTCCTTTTTCTGGGGATTTTGGTGTAATCAAGAAGCATCATAACAGTTTATCCTGGCTCTGACTCCAGTTGGGCAGAGAGCATGTTGTGAAATACAGAGGCAATCACTATGGTCTAAGTTAATGACTTCAGAAAAGTAGTGTCAAAGAAGAAAATATTTTTAAAGCATGCGGGCCTATTTGGATAAGGCATTTCAAACCTATCTAATTTTCCTCTCACAGGATGACAAGCCTTGTGGATGGAAGAACAGCAGTAGTCACCTCTTCTGACTTCTGAAATGTTATAACAATATGACCAAAGACATCAGCCTACAAGAAGGTTTACAAGAAAATTGGAGAGGGACTTTTTGCAAGGGCATGTAGTGAGAGGACAAGGGGACGTGGCCTTAGAATAAGAGCACAGGTTTAGATTGAACATAAAGAAATTCTTTACTGTGAGGGTGGTGAGGCACTGGAACAGGTTGCCCAGAGAAGTTGTGGATGCCCCATCCCTGGAAATGTTCAAGGCCAGGTTGGATTGGGCTTTGGGTAACCTGGTCTAGTGAAAAGTGTCCTTGCCCATGGCAGAGGGGTTGAAACTGGATGATCTGCAGGGTCTCTTCAAAACCAAACCATTCTATGATTCTGTGTCTGTAAACATGCTATAAATTAGACCAGAAAGCTGCTGCTGCAGAGAGGGTACAAACTGATGCAAAAACCACACTTGGTAGTGAGAGGACAAAGGGACGTGGCCTTAGAATAAGAGGACAGGTTTAGATTGAACATAAAGAAATGTGAGGGTGGTGAGGCACTGGAACAGGTTGGCCAGAGAACTTGTGGATGTCCCATCCCTGGAAATGTTCAAGGCCAGGTTGGATTGGGCTTTGGGTAACCTGGTCTAGTGAAAAGTGTCCTTGCCCATGGCAGAGGGGTTGAAACTGGATGATCTGCAGGGTCTCTTCAAAACCAAACCATTCTATGATTCTGTGTCTGTAAACATGCTATAAATTAGACCAGAAAGCTGCTGCTGCAGAGAGGGTACAAACTGATGCAAAAACCACACTTCACCAGCCAGTGGTTCAAAGTGAAAGGACAGATCTCATGGATTTGTGCTGGTCCAGTCCTGTTCATCTTCTCAGTAATAACAATACTACTACTTGTACAGAGCTGAGAGAAAATACAAACATACCATAGGGTAGGGTTCCAACTGAAATGATCCCAACAAAACCAGGTGGTACTTTGAAAAGCCAGAGGGATATTTAAGAGGAAAAAAATACACTAAGCAATATGAGCAAAAGCACAAATACCAGATGGAGAACAAGAAAGAACTAGAGAAAACACTTGTTTTACAGCAGGTCACAGACTGAAAGTGAGTGGTGAATATGGCCTTACCAACAAACACAAACGTCCTATCAGGATGCACAGTCCAGAAGATAGCCAGCAAGCTGCAGTCATCCACATGCTCTGCTTGTCACTACTAAAGCTCCTGGGATGCATTCTCAGGTCTCGGCAAGGCCATCCAAAATGAATGGATCAATGAAGACAATTCAGAGGAAATTCATGAGGCCCAAAAAATATTCTTTAAATGGAAATGTGAAATTACGAGGTAGAAGGGAAGTGACACTGGTTAAAGACACAGCAGGCTTGTATTGACACACCAAATTATTTAGATAGGTAAGATGTGCAATAAATGTAGACCTACACACACACAGAACTACCTATTCATACACATGCTTTAGTCACATCCAGGGATACAGGACCAAGCTCCTGTTCTACAGCTCTGAAATTGTCAAGGAGTCAAAGCAGCAGAGGTAACTCACCTCTGCAGCACCTGTTGTGAGAGTCATCATTCAGTGCACCTCTCATTAGCTTCACATGTACATGTTCTCACAGGGCAACAGATCAGTACATGAAGAAGAGGCATTTTGAACAAGAACTACAGCAAAAGAGTAGAATACTCAAAGCACAAACAACACTTTTGATTTTATTCTACTACTTACATTTTCTATCTGTTTGGGCTTAAGAAATAGGAGATTGAAGTTATTGTTACCTCAAACAGATTGGCACCAAAGTTACTCCTTTGTCCAAGGAATACAAGCAGCTAGAAGTTAGATAGTTTGAGAGGAAAGGAAAAAAAAGAAGACAGAGAGAGAGGAAAACCTATGAAATTACCTAAAAACCTTAAATCTCTCATTGTTTCAGAGCTGATGAAGTCCTTGCAAAGTAGAAGATACTGTATCTCCTGGAA